AACAACAACAACAACCCACAAGACACAGTTTCATTTCGGGCTTCCAGTGACTTCAAGGGGACAGTCGTTTCATGTTTGGTGTTAAAACGGGGCTGAGCGGATGGTGAGAACGGCACATAAGGGGCTCGGGGGGAAACGTGTCCTAGCCCAGAGGAGCGCTAACAGCTTTTCGTCAGACGGAAGCAGGAGCTCGGCAAATGAGAGATGTTTGGTCTAAAAATAGCTCACATCGCCAAGGAGCCTGGTCGGCTCGCCTTCTTCAATAGTTTTGAGTGGTGACATTTTCATGAAGTCGCCTTTGTTGTTCCGGAAGGGGGAGGAATCGCTCTATACTGTGAGATTGATAAGAGTAACCTGATCCAATTCCAACTGTTCCATTTAGGTTGGGTTTTTTTTGTTGTTGTTGTTATTGTACCGGGGTCTTGATGGATAACTCACTGTGACCTGCCGGTACCAAGTCACCGCAGTATTATTATGAAATCTTTTTGTTTGTTGGTTGGTGTCGAAGGAAGTTAACACGGTACGCTCGGGATTGTTGACCATTCGACCGATGGCCGCGTGGCACAAGTGACACTTGTGTTCTTCAGGAGTGCGACTGAAGGACTGCGGAGTGTTGGAGGTGATGCTGTGACTTCACTTCGAGATCTTGGCTCTCCATACAGTGAGATACAATACAAACGCTGATTCATGTATTTAACGACGGGCTACGCTCTTTTTTTTTGGGGGGGGGGGCATTCAAACCTAGCTGGCTGGCGGCCAACCATCACGGGGCCCCTCATCTGCAATAACATCGGCGCAGTCGAAACGCACGCAGTACTCGATGTTGCAGAAGCAGAGGTGGACTGGCTGGGTCGTGCAAAGTCCATTTTTCAAGGTAAAGCGCAAGATCTCCCCTTGCGGATGATCGTTGGTTGAAAACAATCGAAATCTGAACACTCATTAGTTCAGAAACATTGGAGGTCCTCTGCGAGGTGATTTCGGGTTTCAAGCAAAATTGTGAACCCCACGGCGCGGCAGCATTTCCTCAGTTCCCCACGATTTTGATGTCGGCTTCAATGATTACTGATCCTAGCAACAGAGTGACTCGGAATTCCCTTTTTTCAGGTGAATACACCAAAATAGGATGACGTTGTTTCTTACCTCCAACTCGCACTCATAGAGAGTGTCATCCAGCAGGGTGACTTTAATCTGCATGGTTTTGGGGCGACGTGGAGCTTTGGGAGTTTGGGACTCCTCCTCTGTGGCCTTCTCTTCTTTCTCGCCGTGACTGCTCCCTTCAGAACCAGCCTCCTTTCCTTCCTCCTTCCCCTCCTCCTCTTTCTCCAGTGTCGCCACCTCTGCGTTCTCCTTGTTGAGCTCTTTGTCTTTTCCACCCTCCTCAGCTTCGTTCTTTTCTACATGGGCAGCCTGAGGAAGATGATTTGATATATATACTGGATATATATATGAAGGCTGAAGCGACAGTCGAAACTGTTGCTTCTGGAATTACAGCAGGTAAAGATGTACGCTGATGCGCGTATGTGTGCGTGTGCTGACCTGAGCCTCGGCGCTGCTGACCGAGTGCCGGTCGTGGGCCACCTCTCCCTCAATCTTCAGTTCGGGTTCAGGGTCAGCAATGGGAGCTTTGGCTTCTTGCTCCTCCTCCTCCTCCCCCTTCTCCCCTCCCTCGCTCTCGCACTGCGAGCGCCTCTTGAGGAAGGAGGAGAAGAGGCGGGAGAGGCCGCGGCCGACCGAGTTGCGGTTGCGAGTCCGCAGGTGTTCCTCTTCCGGAGAGGACGGCTTTGCGTCCTGGCCGGCCTCCTCCTGATGCCTCGGCTTCTTCTGGTGACTCTCTGCTTCGTCTGTTGTCATGGTGACCACTGGATGAAATATATCGAGAGAAGAATGACCATCCTTCAGGATTTCCTTGATTTATATCAATTAATTTTTTTTTTGGTTTATGGGTGCAGAGAAGAAACATCGCATTCCTCATTCAAGATCCTCATTTTGGAACTATGCCGACGACCGTTGCTGGGTCACCTTAGATGCTTCCATGGTGGGGGATAATAAGACGGCAAAGGTTCAAATCGCCAACCTGTGAAACTGCCTGCAGTGTTGAGGTTTTGCTGCCACAGCCACACAAATGCTGACTGGGCAGAGACAATGAACGTGTGGGATCCAAAGCGCCAGGTGTACCCAGAGAGAGAGGGTAACTCAAGGGTTTGCCCCCGCCTCCTCGATGAAAACAATCTATTCTCATGGCTCAGTGTTCAGTCAGCAAGTGCTGGAACTCAGCAGCATGTGGCTGCTGAAGCCGTGTGTGTGTGCGTGTGTGTGTGTGTGTGTGTGTGAGAGGTGTGTGTGTGTGTGTGTGTGTGTGTGTGTGTGTGTGTGTGTGTGTGTGTGTGTGCGTGTGTGTGTGTGTGTGTGTGTGTGTGTGTCCGCGTGCTTGCACTTTTGAGTCCAGGGCAGCACTGCAGATTTTTATCTGCCAAGTCCATTTTTAAACACGGTTTGCAATAGGTGCTCGATAGCAATGGCACTTTATGTGATTAGGAGGCCAACTCTGACCGGAAACGAAGCCGACTTGCTGCCGCCAATCAGCACCAAACTCTGACATTGGTGGCACGGGGAGCAGACAGTGCAGATTTGTCTTCAGTGCCATGAATGATTCGAAATGCATTTGTCGACATTAAGTCCACGCAAGTATTGCAGCGTTGATGCCTGCATGCTAGCTTGAGTCAGAGTGCTGAACGGGAGCTTAAAAACAGAAAGCGGCTTTAAAATTAATCGGGCCCTGCGTGGGATTAAAGGACACCGTGCGCTGACGTGCAGAGCCGCCGTCCTCCCCACCATCCCAGCCACACGGGCTGCGGAGAAAATCCAGAAACTAGCTTGACCCACATCAAATCAAAAGCGGAAAACATTTGTTGAAGAAACACGAGAGGAAAAAGAAAAAAAGACCAACTTTCAAATCGTTGAGAAAAACACAATGCAGGGAGGGCACTGATTGCAGCGATTCCAATTTTGGCTTCTCGCGATTATCACGACAATCAGCTCATCCGCAAACTCTGCGGAAGACTTGTAGCGATGGAGGATGGACACATCGAGAACATGCAGGATAGCTTTAAAAACTGTTGCTGAGGACACCCCAGTTGCCATTCTTTGCAGTGGGGGGGAAACACACGGCCAAAATAATGACATCCGTAGTACAACAACACCTACTTCATTTTACCAACACGTTGAATCAATGCCCACCACAAAGGCACCGGAGAAAGAGAAATGTCTTCCACGTGTGCCGCCACATTTTATTTTTGATCCACTCTCTGTGTGAAACGAACGTGAGGAGCGAGATAAATATAGAGTCATACTCATTTTTAGCTTCAAACAACTGCTTCTCAATAATTTGGCCGGCACACTGACTTGTTCTAAGGGAAATAATCCACTCATCTACAATATGAGTTGACATCTTCGGCAGCTGGCAAAAGTCGAGCCTCTCCTTTCTCCGGTGAGCACTGCGAGATACAGCCCGTCGTGGCTTCGTGACCTCTCGGCCGGAAAAACGGGGGGCAGGTGAGATGCTTTTCCTTTAGCTGTCACGTTCTGCTCGTTTGCGCGGACAACGGCGACAATGTCTGTGAATGTGTCATTGTACAGTCACTTCGCTGGCAACACCACAATGCATCGATGACACACTCTGGTTCATCATCATTGATTACACAACGGCAACACTCCTCCCAGAAAATGTGAATTTATTACTGGACTCGGCGTCTACGATGATGTAGAATTGAACTGCATCACACTGAGCGCTGTAATTTTGTAATGTTCTGGCGAGCCTATTTCACGACATACAGGCCGTGTGTTTCCTATGAATGCATCCATCACATCTTCAGACAAGAACTCTTGAACTTTCTTGGGAGCCATTAGTCACAACTAAATGCGTTTTAAATTGTTGAGATGATCAAGGAAACTTTGTCCACTATATTTAATGATGATCATTAGGCTTGGAGCTGCTCAAATGACATGGTGCCTTAACGAGCAAACATGAAAATCCAGTCGAGGATTCATAAAGACAGTTGTAACCCACATACAAAAAAAATAAATACAATCCCGAAACAATAATTGAATAATAGTCATCAGCAGCTGTATTCCTACTCCAACACGGCTTTATATCGAGTCTTTTTTTTTTTTAATCATAGGGACGGTAAGCCTTAAAACCTTCTAATGTTGGACACAGACAGCGTGAAAATATGAAACGTACACTTGCCTCTTAAGCGGACCTACCGATGAATCACATCTGCTCATGTGCGCACTGGAAACGGCATCGACTAAGAGACGCTCTCCGGTCGAAATGAAGGGGTGGGGAGGGGGGAATAACTCAACATATACCGATATAAACTGTTTTTCTTGTACCCCATGAGATAAAACTGCTCGTTTCAGATCGGAAACAATCAAAAAAAAGGGGGCGGTGGGCGCACCTGTCTGCAAATGGCGCTCAATGTGAAAAAAATATGTCAACAAATTCTCTGGGTTTCGGCTCGCAGAGATGTCCGAGATCACTCACCCGCTCAGCACAGCTCATCCAGGAGAAAATAACGTCAGTGTGTGAATTAAAGTCGGCTCTTACAAGTTAGAAATCCCTTCGATTTGGAGAATTAGCCAAGTAGTGATTCATGAGCGTTCATCAAGCAGCTTGCAATGTGTTGAGGTACCATCAAGAGTCATTGGTTTTGCCCTCTTCTTTGTCTTAAAGGCGGGAGAGACGCCCACACCGTCAATTTGCCGTCGTGTTTTCGTAATTTAGAGCAGGGGCCACAAATTCTTCTTTGTTGCTACTGGGGGAGAGGGGCCTCCATACAACCACACACGTCTTAACCACACGAATGGCAAAAATGGTGCTTCAAATAGGGACAAAATGCGCGCTATTATTACTTTGCATATTTCAAAATGTTCATTCCGTGTGTAAAAGGTTCACAATTCGAACGCAAAAAACAAAGGGGTTGAAGAAAACACACACCAAGATGTTTGCCCTGCATATCACTCCAAATCTGCAAAAAATAAAAAATAAAATAAATAAAAATGTGTCCTTCCGTTGACGCGATTGTAGTATTGCCCCCCTTTCTTGTAATGGTATGCCCCGGCAGCAAGGGGACGCGCTGGGTACGTGACGTAGGCGGAACGAGACAATCACGCTGGAACGCACACTGCTGTCTCCTGTCTCTTTATAATACGATACACAAACATGGTGTCAGAAGTGGGATTCTAACCCACAAATCCACGGGAGACCGCGAACAGAACAAAAAAAAGAAGAAAGTCTAGTAGTCGGCGAATAGCGGGCCGCCAGTTGCTGGTCCCTGAACTACGGTATACTGTACTGTACAGCGGCAACAAGATGAGACAAACATGATGATTGGAAGAGATGAATAAACATTGTTTGACTAACTGGACTAGAAATCGAATGCTCAGTGAAAGATTATCATCAGTTCTGGTGCATAGTTAAGCAAGAATAAACTGAATATTAAATCACTGTACTCAAAGACAAAGTCAGCCGAATTTGATGGATACCATTTAATGAATACCCATTCGCGAATTAATCATCAGTTCATTACAATCGGCGCTCGATATATGAACAACCATAAGCTTTTTTTCTTTTGTCACAGCAGTAATTATTTTATTTTGCAATTTACATTTGTATTGTCATTTCCTGTATGGAGCACTTTGCGGAAAGATAAGCATCCCAAATACGGCCAGTTAGTTACAGAGTCACGCCAAACGTTAGTTTTTCACTGGCAGCCCCTCGAAGAGGCAAAACAGTCGTTTCTGGCATAATTTCATTATCTGCGCAATTTTGTTTGTAATTGTATTGGATGTAGAACGTTAATTATATTTGCTCATTGTCTGTATGGGTTGCGAAATGTGTTTCGGCTCTTACAGGTGATTAGGCCACGGAAATGTGTTGCTCACAAATAACCAGCAAAATCATCCGTAAAGTTTCATCCTTGTTCGGGAGGACATGCTACACTAAAGGTCAAAAAGCAGCACAAATAGGGGTGGTGGTGGTGGTGGTGATGTGTTGGTCTTTGTTTCATCAACCTGTTGTATAATTTGCTCATATAGCCTGCAAGACCACACTCGGGGTTAATACTGTGTACAATGGGATGGGGCTGGGGTGGGGTGGGGGTGCTGCTCTGAAATGGAGCAAGTATTGGTGGATCCAGCCAATAGGAGCAGTCGAGGGAGAATCACGCACCAATCACCCTCCTTTGTGTTGTCGTTCTTTGCAGAGCTTTACCATCAGTAACCAAGGATACTGATGATCCCCAAGTCGTATAAAAATCTATACATCCATTTTCACTCAGTGATTGGAACTGCATGAGGGATGAGGGAGAGCGCGGGGGACTAAAATCATTTCAATAAATTCAAAGTGGGGGTGCGCTACCAATTTGATCCCAGGGAGTCTATTTAGTATTTAATAGCCACGATTGTGTTTGGACTGCATTGGTTACATAACGTCATGTGGCCGCACTGGTTGACGAGTGAGAGCATGTTAAATCTGATTCGTGGGAATAGTGCCCTTTATTGTACTTATGAGGCGTAAATAATAAAGTCGCAGTAACCAAAAGAATGCTCTTAGAAAGCAACCATACGGCACTTTAGTCAGATGAATATTTGCCGTGGGAGGTCCTTCAACAGGAGTGCCACACAATGGGAATTTTCTCCATTTGAATTCCTGCATCACATGCAAGGACATTTTCAAGATCAGGAACCACCATCGGGACGAGTAGCCCACTAAAAGTTTCATATGTCACATTCTTGCACCGCCGGGGTCGCGTGATACATTGACATCAATACAATTTATGTTGAAATCGGGTAGGCAATTTGTTGCATACATTTCGTCACGCGACTTTATAGTCACGACACAAACAGACCCATTTTAATCTCCCTGTGATTTTACTGTGAAGCATACTTAGGTCCATGGAAAAGCACTCTATAAATCCATCTATTCATTTTTAGAGTTTATTCCAAAACATGAACAAGGATCCTCAGAATTATGAGGCAGAGGGGCGAACCACTTCTCCATTGTGCTGCTTGATTGCTGTTGTAACCATGAAAAAACATAAAGCTTGCCTTACTGGCCATCAGTTTATTTTCGCATTAAAAATATGGATATGTAATAAATAGATGTTCAAAGAGCAAGCTTTGGCATAAACTGTACATAATTAACGAAAAGATCATTTTAACGTGAACATTAAAATTCTGGACGTAATTGTTGGCCATATTTTTTTTCAAGGCTCTCAAAATGTTTCAATAAGCGGGGACATGGCACCAATGAGCATTTTCCACAGAAAAAGGGTCATCGCGACGCTCAAAAGGAGACCAAGCGAGCAGCCAACAGCGTAAAGCAAGTGGCCTTGGACACACGCAGCAGTCTGCCCGCCTGCCTGCAATTGGCATAACTAAGCCAGTTGGAGCGCTTTTGTCAAGAGGGTGGGAGTTTTCAGAACGACGCTCCCTTGCATCAGCAGACCGCACGGTGACGTCGCTTTCTTTGGACACCTCGACACGCCAACCCCCATCAGAACACAAAAGGCCACCCTTTGCCCTGGCAGCCCCCTCCCCACATTCGCCATGGTAGAGAGCAGCTTCCCCTCCTCCCGGCGTGAGGAGCAGGTGCCGAGCCAGACCGTCTGCCGAGGTCAAGTGACGGCGCTGAGCGTCACGGCTCCCTTGGGAGAAGATGGGAGGGTGCCACCCTTTCCGCATTCAAATCTTTCTCTCAAATAGAAAATGCTTCATATTTGTCAACATTTTGGGATCGTAAATCCGATTTGTTTTTATACAATTGTAATACAGATTAAACTGCTTGTTTTTGTTGAAAAAAATAATAATAACAGGACCTTAATCGCAAATATGTACTCACATTTTTAAACGCGCAGTATTATTCTGAACACAAGGATATTTGAAATTGTACACGGCGACGAACAATTGTTTGACTCAGCAAGATCAGAACCCACTCGACATGTCGATAGCGGGTCAGCGTGATGTCATTTGATGATGATGATGATGATGATGATGATAATCCGTTCGAAATTAGACCACCTGTTCAGTTACTTTATCGGTATTGCGCTCTGCTGCGACCTGCTGGACACATTTGGTTCAGCATGAAAAAGTGAAAATCAACTGCATTGCAACACGGCCTGCTCAAATACTTTCCAAACTAACCTGGGGTATGTGAGCTGAATGGAAAGAAAAAAAAAGTCATTGGAAACAAATTACTATCTTGAAGCAAGCAAAATGAGCCGATTACTTCCAAAAAGAAAAGGTCCCTTGATTTAACTTGACCCGAAGGTGACATGGAAGGGGAGGGAGAAAAAAAAAAAAAAAAACTGCTTTCCCTCGCAAAGAGGTAAACACACACACACACAGTTCCCGTGCAAAATTTATATATATATATATATATATGTATTTTTTTTATTTTATATATTTATTTTTTTAATTTTTTTAAATGCATGTTTGTCTGTCCCTGTGGCTTTGATTTATTGATTAATGGATCACTAATAGACCAGCCTTCAAAGTGAATTCCTCCAGTCCAGTCTCCCAATGTACATCCACTCACGGTCTCGCTCTTTTTAAAAGGTGTGTATGTGTATATATAAATATATTATATATATAAAATAATGGTACCCACTGTGGCAGTTGAAATGTGCTATACACAGAATGTATACATATGCAGTACTTTAAACACGAGAGTTTATGAAAAATAAGTCTGCACTCCCTTCATGTTATTGGAATGAACAAGTGCGTGACTCTCTCGACAGATACTGTCAACCCAATTGATTATAAGAAGGACAATGCTGTTCTACTCACCATTTCACCAGACGGAGAATTTTTGATGTTCCATAAAGTGGACCAGAAAAGAAGGGAGAGAAAGAAAAAGTTATCAGATTACATCTGCAAGTTCTTTTCAGTCTTTATTGGCTCACTTGCAAAACATTAAGTTCATGTTTAGTCCTAGAACACATTCTAATGATTCTATGCGACTGTCAACCCAATTGATTATAAGAAGGGACAATGCTGTTCTACTCACCATTTCACCAGACGGAGAATTTTTGATGTTCCATAAAGTGGACCAGAAAAGAAGGGAGAGAAAGAAAAAGTTATCAGATTACATCTGCAAGTTCTTTTCAGTCTTTATTGGCTCACTTGCAAAACATTAAGTTCATGTTTAGTCCTAGAACACATTCTAATGATTCTACGCGACGGCTAAACACACAATTTTGTGTTATGAAACACAATTGTTTTTTTTTTTTTAATTGTTTCCTCAAGTATGATGTATTAAGAAAAACTTTCTGAAATAAATAAAGGGCCACAGCGCAGGCAGCAAATGCTGATTCAGCCCACAAGTTCTGTGCAAGGAGTGACAGGGTCAATGCTGTCTCAGCCGGGGTCACATCTTGAAGATGAAATATTTTCAAATGAATTCATGTGCCCTGCTACAGATACCAATTTTTGCATTTGCTAATAAATTGACTCTTTTTCTTTTTTTTTGAAACAAGGGAACACAGCTAGGTTTACGTTACTATTAAACATAGTGGCTATGCAACTCATACCATCCAAAAAAAAAGTCTACCTAGCCTTGTTCAAATGCCAGCCTTTGTGATGTACTGCGATTCCCGATTTATATGACACTCGGCATAATTTGTTTCATCAAACATTTGGATTTTTGAAGCAAGCCGACCTATGTATACAAGTGTATGTTTAAAAAAAAGTCTCACCAATAGGACACAAGAGTTTCAAGATATTTGAAAGATTGTACAACTGAAAAGAGCAATTTGTTGAATTTGCAGCAATTGGTCATCCTTAGTGAAAGCAAAATCTATTGCTGTTGCAAATGAAAGTTTTTCATTTCAGCCACCAAAGAACAAGGCACTTTGGAATATACCAAATACGTCGATTTATTGAGTATGTGAGTGAAACGACAAGGGACGAATCGTCCCTTATTTATTCTGATTCGAGGGTCCGAACTGACTTATCTTAAACGCTGAATTCTATTTTAGAGACGTCCAAGTTCAGTGTCTTCATCTCCAAAGGCTCGACGCTTAAATTCCACTGCAACTCCTCCAAATCCGAAAGCATCATCGTCACGATCGATCATGGCTGCCAGACGCCAAACTAAGATAAGAGCGTTTATTTACCCTTGATGTTCTTCTTTTCCAGCAGCTCGGCCGTCGTTTCTCATCCACTCGGCACGTCACATTTCTTCTCAGACGAAAGGCAGGACTCGGCGTCCACGCCCCGAAATGACGCGTGGGAGCGGTCGCTCAGACGCCGCTGCGTCAAGCTCACACCAACACCGGAAAACACCTTCGAAACTCACGCCAACTATCAAGAAAAAAAAGTTGATCTCGCGCACCGGCATTTCTAAAACGCAGCACTTCGTCCTGTCGGAGTGAACCGTCCACGGTGTGGAAATGCGTCAGTAGTCCCGATGCGGAGCTTTCCAGAGAGGAACGAGCCTGGCGGCTGAACTTGTGTGTCAGATGAGGTGATCGCACTGCAGCAAAGCAAAGCGAGCAGAGAGCAGCCGCGTCCGCCTCGCGGGGGTCAAATCCTGCTCGCGGGCACACCGAGGGAGTTCGAGCTGGGATAGCGGCGCGGTACGGCACCGGCGCCAAGTGGAAAGCACCCCCCCCCCTTTTTTTTTAGATTGAAATCAGATTTTTGCTGAGTTATGCCCTTTCTTCATCTCGTTTATTCCCAGTTTTGTTTAATATTGGGCCCACTATGTTCTGTATTTGGTATATTGGACTTAATCTGTTCATTCGACTGCAATGTCGTGAATATGACCTCGCTGTCGTAATAATTCTCACACTTTACGTTCGGTAAAAATGCCATTCGTTGTCACGGGTGAAGAGGAAGACCTGCAAAGCCGAGAAAATAATAATAATAATAATTAAAATAAAATGAAAAAGCAAACCGAAGCTCCTTAAGTGGTCTGTTCGTGCCGTGACTCCAGAAATGAATCCGAAAATATGGCTATCGAAACTGCCAACGCGACAGTCTACTTTGTCCAACTGTAATTGGTCGACTTGCTATTTAGGTCAGAGGTCCCCAACCTTTTTTGCCCCACGGACCGGTTTCATGTCAGACAATATTTTCAGGGACCGGCCTTTAAAGGCGAATATAATATGATATGACCTGCATGAAAAGGGTGGTATTTTCGAAACATCATAATGAACACGAATCATGACCCGAGGAACGTCCTATCTGGCCGCAACGTTCTCCGGTCGCTATGGTAACGTTTAAACGTGCCTTCAAAATAAGATACGAAAATGATTATGGAGTAGTCGAGGAACTGACAAGACAACTTTGCCCTACGTGAACCCCCAAGAACGAGAGCAACATTCAGCATCTCTAACAAAAATATAATTTGTTTATTGGAAAAGAGACAAAAGTGCAACGGACAAGAACTCATGAGTATCTTAGTCGGGTGGTTACAGTGGAAAAACTAAAACAATACAGTCAGCGTTAAACATAACTTAAGAGTACAAAACTGTACAGAGTCTCAGAGTATCATTCACACTCAGTATGTGTTTGCTTGCTGCCAAATTTGTCTTCAATTTGTCAAGTTGTGTCAGCAATTACTCAGTCGTGCTGCAAGTACGTCAGTCAGGATGCAAAACACAAATACAAATTTGATGAAGGACTGAATGAATGTTGGAGAGTCCCAACAATGTCAGAGCCGAAGACTTTTTTTTCATGTCATGAACGACGCATCAAGGGTCACCCTGTCATATGGAGGCAACCCTCAATCTACCTGCATCTCCACATTCTTGTGGCTTTTTGTTCATTTCAATTGCTCGTCTGGCACACCGATACAAACTTGTACACCAGCTTCTGGCCAGAAAGGGCCACGTTTCGATTTTTTTTTTTCACGTCTTAAACAAGAAAAAGGTTGCAAATAACATTCACGCTCACATTCACATCGTCACTGGGGGGGACCGAGCCCACGCGGCCCGCACAAAGTCGAGCCAATGTACCATCTGTTGTACGTAGTCAACCACCCCGAATGCCTTTCCTTTGGGGCAAACATACCAGCACAGTGAGCGACGGTCTCCTCGCTCCTTACAAAACCGGCACACCTCGTCAGACCCGAGAAGACCCCGTCAGACAAGCGATACGGTGGTGGTCGAGAAAAGTCAACGAATCACCGGATTTCAAATCGTGTCTTGCAAGGCACCACTCGGGTGATGAACTCATTTGCACGTCAAGATACAATGATGGTTATGCCAAAAAAAAAAAAAAAAAAAACACATCCCGTGGAGTTCTCGGACAAGGACGAAAAGGGACGCCAGGCTGGGAAAGCTGCTCGTGAATTGTTTGGCGTTTTCTGATTTGCATACTTGCCATTTTTCTGGAAACCAAATGGCAACGTCGACACGAACCTCACGCAAGAAAATATGAAGCGTCGACTTCTTTCAAAGCACGGCTTCCGTTCTTCTGCTACGATCTCGAGCACTCAGTCGGGGTCTCGCATCTCAAATCTCAAAACACGAGCAGGCAATCCTCCGTTGTTTCCCGATCTTGAAATGGGCTCTTTGAGAATAAGACGCGCACGCTGCCGGATGTCCCGTCCTCCCAACCACATTGACGACAACATCAACTATCCTATTGCTCGATGCCATCTCTAGGTTAGATTTTGCGGCGGCGGGGGTCCGATTGGGGCCAAAAGGTGGACGGGATGCGGGCCAGAGCAAAAGGCTCCTCGGTATCACATGTGGCGCTGGTAGTCGCCGAGCATCCTGCGCGTGTTGGAAGCCAAGAAGATGTCGTTGTCTCTGGGGCAGTCGAGATGGCAGGAGCACGTCTTGATGAACATCATCTTTTTCCGGAAGACGTCTCCCTCCGGACAGCGGAACTCCACCTCGGCGGTGACGCTGGCGTGAGGTGTGCAGCATCGGCCGTCGGTACAAACGCCGCAGAACTTTGCTCTGTACGACCTGGCGCTGGCGCAGCCTGACAGCTCGAAGCGCATTCCTTGCCGGGCCTTCGGCGTCCGCACGCATTTCTTGCCGCGCTGCGGTAGAGAATCGTTTGATCAAAATGGCGCGGCCACCAACTGACTTGAGACCGTTCTCCACGATACCGTTTGAAAAGACGTAAGCGTTTTCGAATGGGACAAATAGATTGGATTCGTTGAATCGTCATACTTACGAATGCGGTCGATGCGCGACGGCGTTTGCTTTTGTCACGTTGACCGGCATGTGAACGTGTGGAAACTCTCCAAAGCCCAAACGATCCAAGTTAATGCGGGTGCAAAGAAACGGGGAATCGTCTGCGACGTCAAACCGATCGATTTATATCTGCGGCTCTCGATCACTGAGGTGTGATACGATTCAAGGGTGGGACGAAGTAGCATGCGTCCGATTTGGATGGTTTCTCTCGCTCGCTTCTGTTTGTGTTCGGCCCGTTTGGGCTCAAGGTCGTTGTAAATTGTCAACAGGGGTACCATCCTCGTATTCAAGGATACATAGCCAGTGAAATGCAGATCTTGGGGAGAAATAATCAAAGTATTTGCATTTGGGCCGGCATCCGCCCACTTTGGATATCCGCTGTCCTGATTGGGGTCGCGGGCGGGCTGGAGCCCATCCCGGTTGACCATAACGGTATCGACAAACAACCCGTCGCCCTCACATTCGAACCTGGGGACGATTTCGAGTCCTTCAATATCCCGACGGACACGAATGTGGGAGAAAGCCAAAGTCTTCTAAGAAAACCCACGCGAACACCGATGAGCAAATGCCAGAGAGGAAGGAAGGAAGGCAGGCCAAAGCAATCCACCGAGGACACAAAAGAGGTTTGCGTACCTTAATTTCTTTCTCCTGCTGGCTGTCGCAGGGCCGAATCAGACAGAGCCTCGTCTGTCTCTCCAGCTGACAACGTTGGTTGTCGTTGGTGACGCGGGATGAGACGCCCATGCCGCAGGTGACCGAGCACTCGTTCCACTCTGTCGTCTGGACGATGCAGTTCTCTCTGGGACTCTCCGGTTCCAGATCTTGAAGGGCCGCCTCCCCGAAGCCTGCGATGGGTTGCGAAGAGGGCAGCGGATGAATCTGAGAAGCTCCTGCAAAGAGGGAGGAGCAATTTTTAAATGTACAAAATGGGCTCAAGGTATCAAAATCCGAGATCTGGTCAATTGCGTCACACAACGTCTCAGAGCCGGCGCTACTTTTTGGATACTTTGAAGGGCTGCATTGTCGGTCATGAGATGATGATTTGAATGAGTGCTGCGGGATGTGACGTCGTCGGCACTTACCGCCCATCACCGACTCATAGTGGTGGTCCTGAGGCGTCTGGTCGCAGGCCCACTCCTCGCAGCATCTTCCCGGGATGCGGACGCGGCGAGGATACGGACAGTCGGGGGATGGGAATCGGACAACGCCGGGGCACGTCGGCACACATCCGATCTCGCCGTTCATGCACACGCATTGGTGTTTGCAGCTCGGTTGGAAGGACTCGCCGCTGCGGTAGATGACGCCGCCCAGGTCACATGGCTGACCCTCTTGAGCTACGGACAAAGATGCGGACGGAGAGCTTGAGCAACAACCACTGGTCAAACCCATAACTGAGAAGGACAATGCTGACCTCAAATTTTTCACACGACGGGATATGCCACTTGATGAAATGGCCACTTTCAAATTTGTCAGCTTTTTGAAACGGTGCTTTGAATTGGAAAATCGGTCTTGATTTCACAGAACCCATCGAATCATGACATCTGATGCTTTGTTGTTGTTCTTATTACGACAGGGCGGCATGGAACAGTGCCAGAGGGGTTGTCAGCCCCCGTGACCAATGTCAAAGTGTCCTTCGAAATAAGGTGACATAACCATCTCAGTATTGTTTCCCGACCCGGTCAGCTGTTTTAAGACAGCTCAACAGAAAGTAGTGGCAGCTCCGACGAAGGCCGAAGCCACAGCTTGAAACTGTCAACCAGTTTAAGAGTTTTTGTTTTCAACACCGCCCCCCCCACCCAAAAAAATGAACGTCGTAGAGCTAAATCCCCGTGGTATTTGGGGGCCCTCTCCAGCAATGACCCGTTCAAACGGAACGGTAGAGACGCAAACGTTACCCATGCAGATGCCAGTGTCAGTGTCGCTCAGCAGCGCGTAGTCACAGTAGAGCTCCTTGTGGTGGTCGCAGGGCTCCAGCAGGTTGCAGGGCTCCCCTATCTGCCTGGCACACACTTTGCAGCAACCGCAGCCATCCAGCACCAAGCTGGTGCCGATCGGGCAGGGAGGGGGGGCCGCGGGGCAGGCGCAGGGCTGCGAGCACTCCGGGGCCAGGCTCTGCGGCAAAATCCCAAGCGAAGGTGAGCCGGTCGCGCTCGTCGGATGCGCAATGAGAAGATGCGAGCTGACGTCGAAACCACTGAAAACAGTCGGACTCGGCAAAAGTATATGCGGGGAATTGTCGAGCGCCAATTTCGCTTCAGGTTCTTGGTCTTGAGCGAGGAAATCTGGACAATTCACAAATTTCACTTTTGCTCAATACCAAACACAGGCATATTTTCGATCTATCGTTGCCCCAAAAACACCGTGACGGCAGAAGAAACAATGCGTTACACTGTGGAAGAAAAAAGAAAAAAGAAAGAAAAAATTATCATGAGGCTCTTTGGAATGTATCCTAATGAGGTGGACCTCATATTAGCGATCAAACAGAATGCTTTGGTGGATTTTGAGTTGGGAAGAATTTCAGCAAGTTTCCGTCGTTGAACTTTGCCAAAGTTCCACAAGAGGGCGACATTACACCGCACTCCCGTCGGAGCTTCGGCTTCGCGTTTCGGCTGCGGCGCCCAGAGCCGTTTTTCGACTCGGTACCGGGACGTCCGGGTGGGGAAAAGCTTTCACTTGTCCAAAAAGGATCGTCACGCTCGAAGGCGATGGCGACGCGCGCCCGAGGGGACGCTTTCGCTCGGCCGACAACCGAGGGCGGATGGCCGAGGCCAAACTTACCGCCGCGAGCGAGAGCGCGAGCAGAAGAAACGACAGCGTCGCCGGAGCTCTGACGGACATGGTGCCTCGCGGGCTGCGCTTCCCTCCCTCGGACGCTGGACTGACTCGGTTCCCGTGGCAGGAGGCCGGCCCGGGTCTCGTTTGTGCTCCCGAGCTGACTGATGACAGGATGGTGGGCGACTCCGGCTTAAATAGCGACCCAGTGGGTGTCGCCAGAGAAACAAGAGCCCGTGCCACACTGGGCCGAGAGGTGAAAACTTTCGGATTCCAAAAAGTCCGACACGCCTGCTCAAGAACGAGTTCCGATGGGCGGGGCGGACCACACGCCACGGGCGCACAAGTGGCGCAAAGACCCTGCTCCAATTCACACGGCGCGGCATGAGAAGAGAAGCGGGTTTCTGACGTGCCACCTGGCAACAACTCGGCCTTGAGCCACGAAAAAGGAGCCCGCGAAGCGAGGTGAGGCAGGGTCCGGGAAATGACGGCGATGGATGCCCAACATTGGCAACGTGCGGTGCCGGCGGGGGGGCTCGCTGCCCATCTTAAAAACTCGCCTTCAAAGAACTCATTTTTAGTCTTTGGCTTTGCAGGAGATTTTTGGCTTTCGACTGTCTTGGTTATTCATTGGTTTGTTTTTGCTCCGTCTGCAGCGCTTTGTTGACAGCGGCGGTGGTTTGAAAATGCTCAAGTTGAGTGTTGAGTAAATACTTGTTAATTAGGAATGGCGCTCGGGTATGAAACAATAAGTAGCAGAGAAGTACCGATTGCGTGCAAGAGTGCAAACATGGCATCCTCGTTCCGCGCACGAGGACGGCGCCTCTCCGCAGAAACCGCATGATTACACGTTATTTGTCTCTCTTTCCTGCCGCCGCAAACATTGCATAATCCCCGGGAGTTTCTGACTGCGGGCTCATAGCTGCCATGGCAGGATGCTGACTCGATGCCCGCCGAATGACGCACGTCCACCTGGCACAGCAGCGGGTTCGACCTATCATCAATCATCTTTGTGTTCTTTCTCACACGGGCGTGAGGTTCTCCTACCGTGCACTCAACAAACAGACTCAGAATTGCTGTCCTGTCAAATTTTCATGTCGCTACTGCAAGGGGGTGGGTGGGGGGGTGAACAAAAACAAAGATCCTTGGAACGATTGCAAAATCTGCCAAGTGACAGCACCGATGGACTCACTGATCCATGGTCTCTAGCGTACGTTTGAATTCAATTTGTTGTCGTCAGAGCGGTCATTTTTGAAAGGCATATCAGTCAACGTAGCCGGCGCACGGCCCAAAGTCAGCTGGGACAGTCGTGTGTGCCAATTTGTGTTTTGAAACGCGCTCTATTTGTGACTTACGTAAATCCTGCAGGGCGCATGGCCTCACTCTGCATGGACGCGGGTCACACCCGAAAGCCATCATTTTGCAGACAAGCATGGGGGAGGGCTGCGCCGCGGTGGGAGTCGTCACAGCCGACTTCAAAGTGACTGCCTTTGTTCTCTTTAAATGTGGCACGCTAGTCACGCGCTAGAGTCTCAACACGGTAGTTCATATGCGCCGGAGTTTGGCCACCTGACGGCCACTGCAGATTGTCGGTCACAGGGGGATACGCAGCGTTCGTCACCTCCTACGCTACAGGACGACAACCAAAAACTATGATTAAAGAATCACAATTTTCAAATGTTCACAAAAAAAAAAAAAAAAAATAGAAGAAGTAGAAAAACGGGGAGATGAATCCATTGAAAAAGAAAATGGCCACAGTCCAAAAGGAGCAAGAATGTTTGAAAGGTATCAGCCACAATCAAGATGCTACCTAATGACTCGGGCATCGGCAAGACCACGATCCACTGCGAAGACCGTCATCAACGAGGCGAGGAAATGTGGCACGCAAGCGAAAAGGCGGTCAAGGCGGCTGCCGAGAGGCCTTCTGCAACATCGAGGGCGTCGCCCGAGCCCCACTGATGATGTACTTTCTGCGACAGCGACTTTGTGTGTGCGCTTCTGGCCACGGAGTCCGGGAAACGGGAGGGGGGTGGGGGCGAAAAGGAAGCGTTTTCATATCAAGAAAAACATTCAAGCTGGGGGAAAAAAAACAGGGAATGTTTTCAGCGTTCACCTCCCCTCAAAAAAAGAAAAACAATCCAAATGTCAGAATCATTGAGCTAAGAATGCTTCCAGAAAATGGTGTCACGCTGTCGCTGCTCCAAAAGTTCTTGGGGTGGCTTATGTAATCACTGTCTGGCTCCCCCAAAAACAAAACAAATGGGAGGGCATACTCGCGGTGTCTACCTCAAGTCTGGATGTTTTGAACAGCCAGCCAGGCAAAACATCCAGACTTGTTCTGCGAAGAGAGCCAGGTTGGTGACTGCGATGAAAATCAAAAAGAACAACACAGCCGCTGTTTTTCTCACCTCGGCCTTGCGCCGCCCCCACGTTTTGCCATCCGGTCGAAGGAAACGCCTCATTCATCACGGGTCCGCCTCGGTTTCTCAAGCACCGGAGCGTCACTTTCAACTTCCTCTTCAAATGGACGCCAATATTATGCTGTTGATTAGCAACCAAAAGGGCTCGAAAACTGGGGGGGCAAAACAAAACAAACAAACCGTGAGCTTGAAAGAGGAAAAAAATGGTCACACTGGGATTTCGGTGGCGCTGAGGTGAGCGAGGCGTCGCTGTCGTCGGCGCTCCCCCAGACATGAGTTCAACTGTCATCTTTGGGTTTATCGCCACGCTCGTTTCTGGGCGGTCCGCTCCGGACGGCCTCTGAAGCCTCTCGGCGGTTCTCCGCACCTCCCGTGGGCTGGAACCTTTTGGGGATGAAAAGAACATCACGCAGGTTTTGCAGTTGGAAGATGAAACAGTCCTTCGTGCCTGCGTCACCTCTCTTCCCCGAAGATGAAACAGTCCTTCGTGCCTGCGTCACCTCTCCTCCCCGTCCTCCACGAAGCATCTCCAGTTGGTCCCGAATGCCGCCGCCGCCATGAAGCATCTCCAGTTGGTCCCGAATGCCGCCGCCACTCGCCTTTTGACCGCTACTCGTAAGAGGGAGCGCATCACTCCTACTCTGGCATCCCGATACGTTTGAGACTTCTTTTGAAGATTCAATGATGGTTTCCTCGTATTTGCCGGGTTGCGTCCGAAGAAAGCCTGGCGTTTCCGTTTCACGGCTACGCGGACGACAGTCAGGTGAATGTCGCGCTCTGTCAAAAGTTTGCGGCTCGCATCGGCCGCCCTCAATCGGATTCACCGTTTGCACGTCAATCGCCACCGATACCGGCGTAGGCCGAGGTCACCGGCATCGTCGTGACGTCCCCAGCGCGAGACATTCGACTGCACAACGTTGACGGCAGAGGTGGACGGCTAAAAATAGCACCCTGGATGGAAGCGGCGCGACCGCCCTCCTCCCCCTCCCCCGTTCATTCAGGATGTTGTTGAAGTCTGTCGCATTCCTTACGCGCTTAGTCGGCCTGCAAATTTGCCTCTTCCTGTTCTCGCTTTTTTTTTCCCCGCATCCGCCCTCGAACGGTGTCGGAACGCGGCGTACCGGCGGCTCGTTTGTCGGCAGATCGACCCGCGGCGCTCTCTTCTCGACTTGCCGCCATTCCTTTGACGGGAGTTCCCGACGTCCCATACGTGGCATCCGCGAGTGCTGCAATCGCGAGGACCTCGTTGCTTGAAAGAGATCCCGCGAGAACGGACTTCAGCGCTTGGAACTTTTTCCATTGAGGTCTGCTAAGAGTTAGCTACGTGTTTGTGGGTGTCAAATTGAAACTTTTCCAAAACCGCACCACTTTCTTCTGAGGGCGTCTCCCACTGCCTGCGTGCATTCGGGTCTATTATGGGCTTGATTTTGCGGCTCTATCGGCGCACGCGCCTACTTTTCGCCACGGCCCAAACGCAGTCGCGGCAAAGAGAAAATGACTACGACTCGTCGACTTTGCATGGTTTTACGTCTCCCACTGCTTGCGTGCATTCGGGTCTATTATGGGCTTGATTTTGCGGCTCTATCGGCGCACGCGCCTACTTTTCGCCGCGGCCCAAACGCAGTCGCGGCAAAGAGAAAACGACTACGACTCGTCGACTTTGCATGGTTTTAATCTCTCGATTTGAAAGTCCACAAATATTTGGGAACACACACACGCGTGCGTGCACACACACGCGCAACAAAAACACGTCTCCCGGGGGGATTTGCAACGATGAAGCACATTTCTGTCAGTTGTTTTCCATCCGGGCTTTTCTTGTTGACCTTTCGCATGGATGAGGGACATTCGCCCGACTCGAGTTTCGGGAAGGTTTAACCGCATGAGATTGGGAGTTTGCGTTGGTGTGGTTACGCTGTGTGAGTGTCGAACTGAATTCCTGTAAGCAGGGAGGAAAAGAGCGCCGGCGCTGACAGGAACATCGAACTTACAAAGCCGCACCGCAACGTTCACGTTTGCGTTTGTACGCATGTCGCGCCTTTGCCCGAGTGTTATCCAAAAGGTCAACTTTGCGGCTCAGTCCGTTTTAGTCACCAAAGTGAAAGTGGCGTTTCATTCTTTCCATCTGAATTCAGCGCCGTTGTTTGAGCTCCACCCGTACGTGGCTGCTGTGCCCCAAACGCATCGCATTTGGACCCCAAACCCTTCGCGGGTCGACACAGACTCTCGGTTTGAATTTTATTGCGACTCGCCTGTTGTTCTCCGGGAATGTCACAACGGACATTCAAAGTCATCCCCAACGATGGCTGCGCTGTTGTCATGTTTCAGGGGGTGGGCCCCCCTGCCCCCCCCCCCACTACTCATTCCCGTGACAGCAGAAGTTCTCACTTTTGCTGGGGAGCTACCGCGCATTCAATCCTAAGATGTAACTTTTTTTTTTCACTACAACGCAAACTGGGACCGTTTCATCAGAAGCAGAAATGTCAGGGGAATGCGAGAGGTCGAAAAACAGTCTTGAAAAATCGACAAGGGTTGAAGGAATGTTCCTTTCTCCTGCTGTACTTTTCGCTCATGGCAGGAAGTGCCAGTCCAACCACAGGAATGCAAAGCACTAAAGCAGACGTGGTTTTCCACAGGAGAGCAAGACCATGGATGGGGTGGGGGTGTGGGGGGGGGGGCTCTCTGAATGAGAAAAGTGGAGTCAGAAAAATGGTGGCAGCGACGCAGAAGGTCTCCGCGTTGTTTCTTGCAGCCAATCGGCGGCCGCAAACAGACGAACCGGCAGGTGGTCCTCTTCGTCTGAAGCGGGCTCCATGCGTGCAGTCAGCGCAGGGTTGAGTGTTTTCCCGCCCTCGCAATCAAAGTCAGAAAAGGCCCCAAGATGTCCCGGAAAGATTCTCTTGAGTGGTCGTCTTGTGGTGGTGTGGGAGGCCGAGGATTTAGGTTTGGGGTTTTTTTCTCCTCCCGCGACCTGCCGTACATGGTCGGAGTAAATGAAACGATAGGTAATTGCATTTCTGGAATGGCAATGTACAAAGGCCACTTTGTCTTCAATATAATGTCCGCACATGGTACTCATATTCAGTTTTGGCCCTGTGTTAACTTTGAAGTTGCAACTTTTCAGCTAGAGTTGAGCTCCTGGCAGCTGGAATTGATTCCGTAAGTGGACATGAGTCGAATGTATGCTGGACGTGAGAGCTGCCACTCTCAACTTTGCGAGTCAAACATCACAATTCTTGGCAATTCAATCAGAGACTGTCCAGTTTAAAAAAATTAAAGGCAAACATGGAAGCCAGCTCCCCCGAGTCGTAAAAAAATGTTGACAGCACATTGTGGTTCCTTCTCACGCACCTTTTGAGCCATTGATGACGATTGACTCTGGCAGCAGTATGCTGCTCTGATTAAAGACAGACTAATGTCATGAAGTAGAAAGCTCTCGAACGCCACACGCCATGATTTGCTCTTTGGTAATGTAACTTTACTGTGCAATCAGAATGTTCCGGTCGCCACCCAGTTTTCGAGCCGAGTCCAAATGTATTTGGGCAGTTTTTAATGATTGTGCCTCTCTGGCCGGGGTCCCCAACCATGTTTGTGTTACGGACCAGTTCAGTTGAGACAAGTAAACTTTTCATCGCTTTGAAATGACCAGTTTTAAAGCACCGGTAGTGACCACAAAGATGATGGTGGAGTAATTCAATATGCTAAGAATTTGTCGTGTCAAGAGAATAATTTTAAAGTTATGATCCTACCTACGGCGTTAGCATCACTGCGACTTGTAAAAGACGACACGGTTGATTGTTGCTTTCTTCCGGTGGCTCCCGGCTAGGCTACTTGTTAGCGACGAAACTGCTCCTGTGGACGCGGACGGGATGTGCAAACTGTGCTCACACTTTCATGCTTTCCTACTTGATCCCTTGGGTGCTGCTTGTTCAAATGCTTCATCGGGTTTCTTGTATCGCCTTGTTTTTGGACGACAAACCTCGTGCAACAGCTTCCTCCCCCTGGTCGCTCGGGGAGGAACTTCTCTTGTCCAAATCGCTTCATCTTCGAAAGTCGTGGCTGCCCGTCCAGCGGCGCGTTTATTAAAGTCATACGTTTAGTCCATTCGTTACTCTTACACCAGCAAAATTACGACACGATAAAGGATCTCGGTCTGTCTCTGTGCGGCCCGGTAACCGCTGGGCCGGTCCGCGGACCGGTGGTCGGGGACCCCTGCTCTATTCGACACCACCGTGGATTGGAAATAAAACAGCGAACATTCGCCACCTGCGCGAAAGGCCGCAAAAAAACAAACAAAAAAACGTACCATGATGTCTCCAAGCTCTCTTTTTTTGTCCAACCTCAAGTATCTTGAAGACGGTGACATTTTGAATTGGAAGAAACGTCCAATCACAACACTCAGCCATTGTTCAAATTGACTCAAATGTCCATTCTAAAATGTGATCTGAAGTTACCTAATTCATTCCTCCTAAACGGTTAGAATAAATTGTAGGACACACGCCAAGTCAACGTCTCGGTCAACCACAACTTGACCACGCAGAACAATTAAGAGCAGAGAAGCGAACACATTCATGGCGGTGTTCTTCGATCCGAACGTTTCTGACCTGTACCTTGACTCGCTGGAGGTTTTCCTCCCTCACGCATGACCTCCGAAGCCAAATAAGGACCAGGAAAACACGCAAGCTCCACACCGGAGGACCACCTCTTGACCATCGGGCATGCAAACCTTCAATGCAAAAGACATCAGCGCCCCTTTGTGGTCCGAAGTCCCAGAATTGCTTCAACCACACTCAGGTCCAGACAAGAGGTCAAATAATGCATTGACGGCTAACATCCATCCATTTGTGTATTTATTTTCATAACATTTGCCCGCAATAGAGTTAGGTGTGAAATGAATGAAATGATCACTTGTATTTTTTTCTTTCCCCTAAAGTGACATTTGTTGAAAGGGTACCCACTGCTTGTCTTAAAAAAACAGACACAATCCCATACATGCATTAAAAAGAATGTTTCATGTTGATCGCACTCTATTTTCAGCTGGCAAAATAAAAAAAGACAACCACAACGAAAGTACTGTCATCTTAGACCTTTATTACATAGAGTGCCATGAGTCATACAAATCAATGCAAATGCTTCTTAGAACAGGCGCTGCGTTCGAGACATACTGTACTGTTTGGCGGGCTACAATGCTTAAGAGTGTCAATATTTACAAATACGGATTTACTGCTTATCTGTTAATTCACGTATACAACTACAATCACCACTTGGAGTCATCCTGGTCATGTGCGTTGACGCTCAGTTGTGGTGAGAACTACTGACTTGCTCACTCGGCACTTCAACTGTACAATATTCACACTTTGTATGAGAAGGTGCCGCAAGAAGAGATGACCAAAATAAGACACGCTCCAAAATCAGAATCTTTTATATTCTTTCCTGATTTGGTCTGCTCATTGCAATAATTCAACATCTGGAATAGTGACAGTGTTAGTGCAGAAAAGGATATCAAATAAATCACTCCCCAACGTCACCTCGGTTCCATTGACAAAGCAAGTCAAACGTGCTAACAAGAAAAAAAAAAAACATCCGTGGTCAGCGGAGCTTAGCATGTTTGCAGCTCGGCACTAAACTACACCGGCGATCCCGATGACGTGAGCAGTACAGTGTATCCATCCGCTCTCCTTGTGATTGCCAAGCAAGTACTTTTGAGGTGGGACGAGGGCAGCCTAAAATGTAAGTCAATAACAATGACGCGATGAACGTGGAGTGAAGTCACTTGGACACCTGCCAGATGATGATGCCGAGAATGACCAGCGCAACGGAGCAAACGATTGCCAGGATGCACATCTTCTTCCGGGACTTTTGCTGCCATAAGAAAAGGAAAAAGGAAGAAAGCCGATAAGAGAGGACCGCGATCTGAGCGCATAAAGGGGAGACGTCCTATCGTAGCTTACGACAGTGTCGGTCCACGTTTATTGAGATCACCTTTCCACGGGACAAAGAAATAACACTTTGCTACAATGCAAATTAGTGTGCAATTTCCTGCCCCTTTATCAACCACTCAACACACAGATGTTGAGATCCAAACAGCTGGCAACAAAGGTGAGCACGCCCCTGCGTGGAGGAAAAAAAAAAAAAACCAAACATCCAAATAGGGCCCGATCAAGGTCTCCGGTGTGAATGGGGAGCAAGTAATCAAGAGCAGGCGGAAATACGGCACCCGGTGGCTGAGAGCGCCGGCTCAAGAAAAACAGAAACCTGGCGCCTGTTCAAGATGGCTGTAGAGGGTGCAAGACACGACGGGGTCTGAAGAGTAACTCACTTGGTAATAAGCGGCTCTCTGTAGTTGCTCTGTCCCTCGCTCGACATGAACTTCAGCATTCTCCACATTGGCCTCGATGCTGTCTGCAAAATAGCACGCGCACAGTTGGACACGAGAGGCGGTGCGTGACACGGAGGGAAGGAGGAGGGGAAAAAAAAAATAATAATAACGTATCCCCGACACCGCTGATGCTTCTTCTCACCAATCATCTCTCCTTGATCATGGATCATCACTGCGAGGTCCTTAAAAATCTGGTTGACGTCCATGATGTCCGACTGCAACCAAACAACGAGAACGAGCGTCAACTCGCGGCCGAGGGGGAGAGCGCATTTTGATTGGGCGACGGACGAGGAGAGAAAGACGCCGACCTCCAGCTGTCGGATGTTGGTTTCTCTCTCCTTTATCAGTTCCAGGTCCTCTTCCGTGATGGCTGCCTCCTCCGTCTGGGCGCTCATTTGCGCCCAGTCATCCTGACTGCTGGCCATAAAGAAAGCAAAATGAGAGAGAGAGAAAAAAAAACCAAACAAACACAAAAAAGTGGGATTCTATCGGACACGTTTCCATTGAATTACTGTGCTCTGCATTGCTGACTCTGCGTAGCTGTTCAAGTCAGTGTAACTTTAAGAATATTACCGAGTGGTGATGTGATTCCAAAAATAACAATACTTTGACATGAAACACAAATCCGGAAGTGACGTCAGGACGAATAGAGTACTTGCCGAGCCAGCTCAATGTCAAAAAAAAAAAAAAGTGAATACCTGAAGGAACGCCACTCACTTACTTCTCAAAAGACACGAGCTTTTCATCTCGCAAACTGTCATCTGCCTGAAAGAGAGAGGGAGGGGTGGGTTGGGGTGGGGGGTGTTTGCTAAATTGGCCGAAGGTTTGAAATTCAAATCTTTAGGTGAGGTGACCCACGTGGCTTCTGTTTATTTTCAGACCATCATTTGCGATAAACGTCAGCCAACATCAACACAGGCTAACCAATATCAGTCTAGACTGAGAATTTCTTATTCTTTCCTGTTTTTGCCGAGTCGACTATCAAACCAAACATAAAACAAAAGACAATTTTGAAATATTTGCCTTGAAAAAAAGCTTCACATTAACATACTAGCACTGACACTCTAACAGGAAGGCGTGAGAGATGTGGAAGCAAGAGCCATTTGAACACAAATGGTGGCGCAACACACGCCATACGACATTTCTGATGCCCTGAACTGGCAATTCAAATTTTGAATGATAGCAAAACTCGTGTCCGACAGCCGCGACGAGTTCCGTCACGGTTGGACCACAATGCCGCTGCCCGAGCCGGTGTCAACCGTGACAGTGAGGGCCTCCTACATACCGATAGGCGAGATCCGGCTCTTGCTCGGGCCACCGACTCCTTCTCCTTCTCCGCCGCGCGCCTCTGGACCGCTTGAAAGTTGTTAAGAGCGGCGGAGAAATCATTCATCAGCCGCTCCTTCTGGATCTTCTGCTGCCTCTGGACGCGATACGAAAAGAAGCGATGAGAACACCGACATCTTTGATTTAACGGTCAGCGACAAGCCTCGCACGCCAGAGTGACCGCAAATCCGGAGGGCCTTTTTTTCCCCCGGCGTCTCGGCGTCATTCGGATTTGTTTGCGTTTTTAGCCAGCGCCGATTCTTAACTCATGTCACGAACGAGGGACGGGACAGCTCGGGGCGACAGGACGACGTACTCACTTGCTCCGACGGTGATGTTGGCAAAGGAAGTGAGCCCAACTCCTTCAGGTGCTTGTTGGTTTCTTTCGCAAGCTGATTCGTGTAGTGTTGCATCTGCTGCCTGCGGAAACGGCAACCGTTCAAAGTTAGAGAGAAATACGGCGCCACGGGCCTCCTTCACGATGTCGCACAAACAACACTCCCGGTAGCTTATGTTTGGAGCCGCGTGATGTCCAACTTTGGCATCGCCGTATGCGTTGTCACGAGGGGCAGGCAGATGAATCGGATGATCGCCGAGGTTGTTTTATTTTACACGACGGTCTGGAAAAGAAAACGGCCAAAGAAGCGCAGAGACGACAGAGCAGGAGGAAAAGTCTTCTCAAAGAATCCGTTGGGGATCGGATTCTCCTCTCCATCTTGCGATTGAATAGGCGATTGTTTTTTTTTTTCAAGGTTCTCTTTTTAATCGACAAAGGAAATAGTTTCATTTGTTTCAAACATCCCATAGCGGGACAAGTTCAGTGTTGTGCTTAAAATTGTGAAATAAGCGAGTGCTGGCCCGTCTCACCGGCGGACATTTGACGGCTAGCGGTGAGGGTTTTACTTGGATACTTCCGTCACCTCACCACTGCTTAAAATGTTCCTTTTTAAATGTGACCGTGTTCGGATGGTGACAGTTCAAAGCACGAAGGCGACCATTTCTGCGAGTGCCGTTGCGGAAGTACATACAGCCGATCCTGAAGGTCACTGTTGTCCTGTCTGGTCCCCAACTGGCTCACCATGTTCTTGATTTGAGCGGCTGTCGGAGGGGGGAAAAAAAAAAACAGATGAATGTCAATCGTGAAAGGAGGCAACGGAGCGCCGCGCCGCGGTGGCACGACCTCGTGATCCTCACGACAGAAGCCGGAACAATTCACCCCAACGATACAGTCACTCATGCCTTCGTCACATCCGGGCCGGCTGGCGCTGGTGAGCTCGACCTGTACAGTCAGCCAATCCTGCGCAAAGCGTCTCCGGTTGCTCGCCTCTCGACTGGTCCTCGGAAGAGGGAGCGCATCGCTCTCTCTCTCCTGTTGTACTACCGAGCCTCTGCTACACTCGCTTCCCAGAAGCGCATGGCCTGACGAGTACGGCGGCCAACTGGCACATGACGATTAGCCAGCGGGGCGAGCCCACCAAAATGGCATCACAGCAAGGCAGGGTGGGAAGTTTTCCCAAAAGGAAAGGCCACGACAGCTCTGTGAACACGCCCGTCGGCAACACGGCAACGCCCTGCTCCCGTCTACCAGCGCAGAGTGAATTCATCTCGGCTCTAACGGCCCCCGATGAGACCATTTAGCGGGAAGCCGGTGTGCAAGTAGCTTAAGAAGCAGCATGTGACAGTCGCATCACATGACTCATTTTCCCTTCGTTGGGAGAAAACAAAGGGCCCCACTGTGTCTTTAGTTGAACTCGAGACATAAACTCACCGGTGACAACGCGAGACCACCGGGAAGATAAAAATTGCTTGACTGCGCTGGTCAACCCCGGCCAACTAAACTGGATGTCATGTCGATTGTTTGCTTTATTTGCGTGCTATTGTTTGGTTCTTCTAGGATATGTGTCACCTGAAAGGTCCAAAGGTAAAAATGAACAAAGATCCGAAAATGGAAATGGGAGCATGGACCTCGCAGTGTCAACCCAGCCATCAATCTGCAACACCCAAGCGAATAGCGCAAAGGGTGAAACTGCGTTTTCCAATCTTAATTCCCCATCGCGACGGGGAATTGGGCTCACTCGGAAATGTTGTTCCTTCGAGCCGTTGTGTCCGCAAATGACAATCCGCTCCGATACGATACCCGCGTGCGACTCACCGACTCATACTGAATGACGAGGAGCTGTTTTTCCATCTGCTAAAGACTGACACCATCCCCGGTTACAGCATGAGTGACACTTTGCAAACTTGAAACTTCATTTGTGAGGGAAAACGACACAGCACTTACTATTTTGTGTGATCTTCTGGATGTTGGAGCTGCACGTCTGGATGAGGGCGGTGAAGTCCCGAGGGACTGGGCGATAACTGTCTTGACCGTACATGTTGTATCTTCGAGTGGCGAGCTTGAAAATTCGGGCTGCGCACAAATTGCAATACATGTCAAATACTGCAAGCACGTTTCACTATCGGAACAGCAAAAGCTGCAAACCTTCGGTATGGTGGATTTTCATAAAGCGATATTTTGCATGGCAAACTACTTCACCGGTGACGAACGCAGTAATCAGGATTCTCGAACTTAACTGGACTTCGAATGAGGTCACCGAGCATTGATTACCCAGCGTTAGCCGAATAGTTAGCCAGCTGATGCCTCCACTGAAAACGATCGAAACAAATTCCTAGACACGTACGTTAGATTGTTTCGCTCACAGCGAGAACTGAGAGTGTGAGGGAAAACATGTTTACAAGCGCAAACGACTCGGCTTCGCAGACGGATCCGCACGGCGGTGGATTAAGGCAAAGCTGCGGCGACAAAAAGGATCCCTGCTGCTCGACTGCTAGCATCCAAGCGACGTGACGCTCCAAAAAAACATTCATATCATCTTCAAACCTACTATGCTTTTATCCTGCAATATGCGTTTAGAAACAATGATACTTCATATCAGAGAATGTTTTAAGGATAATACTTGCTTATTTGGCCGGGCAAGAACACATCGGAGTAATGTTTTCCCCTTGCCGTCCAAAAAAAAAAACAATCCTGCCCTTCCTGGTCAGTCACATGAAAGCTGACGTCACGTGTGGTGGGTGGAGCTACTCCAGGGTTGGGCGAACACCACTGGATGTACACAAACGATAATGCGCGTGAATAGTTTTAATTTTGAGGTGACTTTCTCTTTTTGGCAAAAAAAATAGGATGACATATCTTCACCTTGGGTTTATGAAACATGCAAAAAAAAAAACAAATATATATTCTTCAGGTCAACATACGCCAAACAGTTATCAAACACAACAAAAAAGGCGATGAATATTCGTGTGACATATTAAATACATAGATAAATAAATACAGTGGGAAACTTTCAACATCAACAGTGATTTACCGTTTTAAATGAAAAAAATCGTTGTGACAAATTTTCATTCAACCCGTTTCCCCTTTTTTGAATAACACAACAAACCCAAGGGGATGAAATAAAAAGCAGGTCAACATAAATATATTTAACAGCTTCGTCATAAAACATTTAACTCGTGTCATAGCGCTCGTGTTCTGAAAACGAAAATGTTTTGACGTGCACGCATCATACTTGGCTGCGGGATACACTGCAATTTGAGTTTTGAACCACTGGATGGCAGCAGGGCACGAAAATGAACGGTCACTTCGATGCAATGGCCCGTGAGAGGAAACGAACAACAAATTCAAGAATGAGAAACATCGACGCATCCATCCATTATCTGAGCCGCTTCTCCCCACGGGGGCCGCGGGTGTGCCGGAGCTCATCCCGGCAGTCTTCGGCCAGTAGGCGGGGGACACCCTCAACCGGTTGCCAGCCAATCGCAGGGCATGCACAGACAAGCAACCACTCAGACTCACGCTCACAATGAGAGTGTTTAATTAACCTGCTATTCGTGCTTTTGGAATGCGGGTGGAAACCGGGGTACCCGGAGAAAACCGCCGCGGAACATGCAAGCTTCACACAGGAAGGCCGGTGCCAGATTTGAACCCGCAACCGTGAGGCAGACGTGGTCATCAGTTGACCACCGTGCAGCCTGGAAATAAACAAAACAATACATTTCAAACCGTCAAGTGCCTGCTCTCAAGTGATAATTGGCAAAAAAAACAAAACAAAAACGTTGCAAAAGTCCGAAGGTGTCTGTCAAGTTAATTTTCAGGATGGCAAGACAGACGCTTCTTCGACGTCATTGACGCAGAAGGCAAAAACATACACGCGAAAAGTACATTCGAGAGGAAACGTGTCCGTCTCAGGCCACAGCTGGCCCATGAGGCAGACCAAGTGAGTGGCCGGCAGCTCTACATTAAAATGAATACCAATCAAGCCCTCCCAGGCTGGGTGAGCCGCTACCTCTCCAGAACCCCCCCCAACCCCCCCACCCTGCCGATTGGTCCAGGGGAGACCAACCTGCCGTCGGCCGGCCAAAGATGCTTGCGTCATTGTCCGCTCGGCGGCAACAATGAGGCCGAATAACTAATCAGTCCGAGCCAGGCTGAGGTGTCATCCTCTCATCACGGTTCCCACTCAAGAGCGGCTTTGGACACGAGCAGCAGCCTTCAGTGGGGGGCCCGTCACCGGACCGACAATTCAAAAGAGTAGAAATGCGACGGTGAAAGAAAGGCGGCTTTTTAGCTGAGTCACCAAAGAATACACAGCGCGGGCAGAAGAGTGGATTTCATGTGGATGACTTTTTTTCCACCATCTTGACTTTGAGGAGTTCTGAGAACCAGAAGTGCTGCCTAGACAGGAAGCGGAGTGAAGAAACCTAAAATGGGGGCCAGAAGACCGCTGACTGGCCTGACAGCTTGGTTACTTTGGAGTAAGTACGCGCCGTCTTTTCAACTTGTTCAAGTGGAACATTCAGAACGGGAAAGGGCATTCTCCGTGACGCGCCTGCTTGAACGCTGAAAAGTGAAAGCATCACGAGTGGTGGCTTCATGTTTGGTTTTCATTTGCTTCCTAAAGCATGTTTTTGCTGTCCTTACGCGCTCACGCAAATGCTGACAGATCCATGCATCCATCTCATGAGAATTGACTGGCAGATTGAGTGAATGATCTCTTTGATCCTCCACGTCACCCATTGAAATAGCCCACAAGAGGGCAAGAAGATGAACCCGAGTTCAAAAAGTATTTGGCACGTCTTACTCGGGATGCCGTTGGAAAAACTCAAATTGAGCAGGGGAAAATGAATTAGAGTTGATCATCGATATGACGGGCTCGATAGGACTACTACAAAAAGTAACGTACGAGAATGAGTTCTATATGAGTACAGACAAGTGCGTTCCAGTCATCCGGCCGAGATGTGACGAAGCCACGAAGGGCTGTTTCACAGGCGCCACAACCCAAAACCATCAACTCGCCACAATGGGGAGAAACAAGATCTGACTCTGGGAAACATGACTGACTGACACTTCAGGTCACTTAGCGCATGGCCTTCTCTCACCATTTCTAACCGACGCACATAGGTTCCAATTTGGTTATGAGGGCCCACGGTATGATTGCCAATCTCATCCTGATCTTGTGGTTTCCAGGCATAGTCTCCCAAAACCTCCCCGGCAAATTTGCATCATGACCTTTATACGAGCGGCGTGCAGACGGTGTGGGACGCTCTGCCTTTAACTCAGACCACAATGGAGGGTTCAAGTCAATAACCTTTGACCTGCGCGGAAGGGGGTAGGGTTGTGAAAGTCGTCCTGGCCACCGATAGGCCTTGTGAGGGTGGGGTGGGGGCGGTCGCCATATTTGGCACGTCTTACTCGGGATGCCGTTGGAAAATCTCAAATTGAGCAGGGGAAAATGAATTAGAGTCGATCATCGATATGACGGGTTCGATTGGACTGCTACAAAAAGTAACGTACGAGAATGAGTTCTATATGAGTACAGACAAGTGCGTTCCAGTCATCCGGCCGAGATGTGACGAAGCCACGAAGGGCTGTTTCACAGGCGCCACAACCCAAAACCATCAACTCGCCACAATGGGGAGAAACAGGATCTGACTCTGGGAAACATGACTGACTGACACTTCAGGTCACTTAGCGCATGGCCTTCTCTCACCATTTCTAACCGACGCACATAGGTTCCAATTTGGTTATAAGGGCCCACGGTATGATTGCCAATCTCATCCTGATCCTGTGGTTTCCAGGCATAGTCTCCCAAAACCTCCCCCGCAAATTTGCATCATGACCTTTACGGGCGGCGTGCAGACGGTGTGGGACGCTCTGCCTTTAACTCAGACCACAATGGAGGGTTCAAGTCAATAACCTTTGACCTGCGCGAAAGGGGGATTTCTAACCGACGCACATAGGTTCCAATTTGGTTATGAGGGCCCACGGTATGATTGCCAATCTCATCCTGATCTTGTGGTTTCCAGGCATAGTCTCCCAAAACCTCCCCGGCAAATTTGCATCATGACCTTTATACGAGCGGCGTGCAGACGGTGTGGGACGCTCTGCCTTTAACTCAGACCACAATGGAGGGTTCAAGTCAATAACCTTTGACCTGCGCGAAAGGGGGTGGTAGGGTTGTGAAAGTCGTCCTGGCCACCGGTAGGCCTTGTGAGGGTGGGGTGGGGGCGGTCGCCGCGGACACAATAGCTGCCCTTTTCCTCTGTGTTCTCTGAGCTGACGGTCACGGACTCATCTGCATAAGACTACTGCCAGTCTGTGCTCAGATTGAGACCTTATTAAACATGTGAGTGTGGAGATAATCCGCCTCTGGCTGGCCACACCGCGTCGCCTCCTCCTCTCTCCGATCGGGGGTCCTCACGCAGGGTCCACGGGGGTGTCGCCTGGCATAAACCCGCCTGGATTGAGTCCACAAGCAGGGCCACAATTTCATATTTGGGAAGGTCATTCTCATTTCGCTGACACTTAACGGATCAAAACTGCTAGAGCCCCTTCCTTCCATCACAAGAGCTTGTTCCTTCTTGGTCCATCCACATGGGTGATGGATGTGGTGGTTATGGGCAAGCGTTGATTGAAAGGCAGTTGGCGCAGAGCGGCAAGCGGAGCCTCTGGTGTGACGTATCGTTCAAAATATTTGCTGACAAAAACTGACCGTGGCAGAACAAAGTAGGTCTGGTAAAACTGGGCATCGGTTTCAGGAGACTCGTAGTCATTTTTTAAGTGGGGATATTGAAGGGACTTTCTCAACTCCACTTCCATTTCAACCGCGGCGAATGGGACAGTGGAATAGCTCCGTGACGAAAGCTCGGAGGCATGTTTGCAAAACGCAGTGGTTAAAAAGCCTCGCAGCAACAAGACTTTAACTCCCTTCAAGTGAATAAAAAAAGAAGCCTTGAGGGGATGAATTTCATGGCCATTCATCTATCCAGTGTTTTTTTGGGGGGAGGGGGCAAAGGGGGGGTGCTCCCTTTGAACAGAGTTGACAACATTGGGGACCTGATTGGGTAAAATTCCGTCAGGTATTTGAATGTTGCCATGTCTGCAGAATTGTTCCGATGAGGTCAGAAAAAGCCACATGTGCAACTTTGATCCCAGTCTTCAATTTCCACATTGAGGATTTGGCAAGGTGAACTCTCGCCCAGGCAGTCGGGACTTTGGGGCAAATGGGAGCATGCCGGGCTTATCGTCTGGTCCCCCCCCCAATTCGTTTTTTTGGAGCGGCCAGTTCACGGCCAGCCGTCGGCCAAACAATAGCAGAAGAGGGAGTACTTCTGGCCGGACACGTACCACCTCCCCCATTGCATCCATCCGTCCATCCTCCTCGCTTCTGACTCTGTCTTGTGACCCCCGAGGGGCTCGGGGTTACAGACACAGGGTGCTCGCGTGGGGGGTTGCTGGACAACCTCCTCTCCTCATTAAATCTAACCATTAGTCCCAATCTCAAAGCTGCGCACCCACTCGATACGCAAGACGCTTGATGCAAAGCTTCAATCGGGAAAGAAAACCAAGCGACAATTCATGCAAAATGTGCAAGAGTGCAAATCTCTGCCGCCAGCTTGGTTCTTCTTCACAATCAATGCAAGCTCATTGAACAGTCCGGGAAATCCTCCTTTCATGTAAAATAGCAACCAGCAAACTCATTTTGTTGTCAGCCAAAAGACTCGTTCAAGCTGTACTTGAAATGCGTTGAGTGGTGAACGGGCAGCGCATTTTGTACGCCTTTCGGTGCAAGATGTCACCAGTGCTGGAACATGTTGAAATGTGAGGTTGGTGGGTTTTTTGGGGGAAGAGAATCCTCGCAGATTGTCAATTTTTTGATGGATGTTGATGTGATCGTCACTCCTCAACTATGCACCAAATATCATTGTCGGTCCTTCAGCCTCCGGAAGTTGCACCGGCGTGTGTTCGAGAAGCCAGAAAATGCAATGCACGTCACCCCTTGGGAGCCCGGAATTGCATTTTCAACATGGGGGGAGAACGTCTGGTGGGGGGGGGGGCTGTTGGCCCGGATCAGCTCATTCGTGGACAGCTGACTGGTAGACCTGAATCCTGCTACATCTGCTCCATGGGAGATTTCCCTTTAGAAGGAGGGGGCAGATGCTCGCGTCGTGATGTGACACATTAGTCAAAGTAATGACGCGGGTCTCACGAAGGCAGGGCCGGGTCAACTGGATGTCCAACCCGTGTGCCATTCTTCACATCAGGAAAAACCTGGTCATGATATCGTGTGTCGAGTATTCATCTGATTTTCACGCGGTCGTTGCCCTGAGTCATCCGACTACTTTCTGTGGTGATCAAACATCAGAGCTTGCTATTTTGCTCAAGAGTGGTCTCTGCGTGATTGGATGCAATTACGAGTGGCTTAGTATCTCTGGAGTCTCAAGTCCTGAAGGGAAATGCAAAAAAAAAAAAAAAAAAAGATGCACCTTGGAGAATGTTTCGCCTACCAGACGACTGAAACCAATCCAGCATCAAGTTCAGCTCAAACTTAGCTGTGGGAGCCGTTGCCGTCTGGGCCGCAATGAAAGTTCAAGGTGGGGGTGGGGGTGTGGGGGGGATCAGCAGCACAGATTCAAGACTCGGCCATGACATTTGATCGGCCAATGTGCAGGTTCAAGTGCGGCCTGCGATTGTTCCAGCTTCGCAGCTGGGAAGGCGGCGGCGGCCTTTCTAAGGAACCTCGCGACGTTTTGCATATGAGGTCATCAACACGCTAAAGCGGAGAGAAAGTGAAGGCGAGATGGTGTCGCCAAGGTCACGGGGGAGAGGGTGCACGGGTGCGATGGAGGAGATGTGGTGGCATGGGAAAGTCACCTCTGAGAGGGATCTGAAAGGATGGCGGGAGGCGGGAGGGGTGGAGGGGATGCATAAGAAGGGGCAGATGGTGCCCTTTGGGCGCATGGTAGTTGACAAAGTTTTACAGAGGTGACGGGGGAGGGGTTGGGTGCAAATCATCCCAGTCACAACACCATTGTCGCAGCGAGGCCCCTTCTCGTATAGACAGACGTTCTCCTAAACTTGACCCCGGTGACCCTTGCCAGTGTTCTCCTCCTCGGTTTTCCGTATTGTTGTCGCCCTCTCCGCATGGATGGCTCAGTGGCATTCTGCCTCTGTTGTCGCTCGCCTTCGTCAAAGCGATCGATGCGGCAAATCATCCGTCAAAGGAGAAGTGCCCGTCGCCGTATCCCTTGATGCTGTCCTCTCTAGAGTCGCGTGGCGCCCTGAAAGAGAGCTGCTCCAGATTTCATTTTCAAAATGTCATTCAAGCTCATTCATTGATCCAAGTATACGTGGGCACAAATGTTGTGAGGAGCTTTGACGGTGTCACCTTCTCAAACCACAGAGCAGGAGCACTGAAAAAAAAAAAAAGAATTCTAAAAAGTATCGGTGTGCCAGAGTCGGAGACATGTGCTCCCTCCTGCGTGTACCAGTCCAGAGGCGAGAAGCGGCATTTTGGACCAACTGGAGACGCTTGATGGAGGACCGGCTGACTCCAAAGTCAAGATTTTGGAATATCACTTGAGTGAATGGGAAAGTATTTGAAATCCCTCATGACCTGTCATTCTCTTTCCCAGGTGCCTGCTTGGCCTCAGAGCTGTCTTTTCTGCAGGAGCCCAGAGATGTGATTGCAGTGAGGGATCGCCCGCTCATGTTGGACTGCAACGTGCAGGGCCAGGAGCCCATTCAGATTACCTGGCGTAAAAACGGGGTGCCTTTGACCATCGGTCGGCGGGTTCAGGTGCTGGCAAACGGGACGCTGTGGATCCACAGCTTCCAGAAACGCAAAGAAGGCGGCGACGCTGATACGGGAGAGTACGACTGCGCCGCTCAGAATCGCTTTGGCATGCTGCTCAGCCGCAAGGCCAAAGTCCTGTTGGCATGTAAGTGGGTGACAGTGGCTCGCACCCGAAACTAACTGGGGCCCAAGGAACCATATTTGGCAACTTCAAAATGTGTTGACAGTAGAATCTGATAATACGGCAATTATAATTACAGGCTGTCTCTCTCTCTCTATTTTTTTTTTTAGGTACCGGTAATTGTTTTCCTGGTATAACAATATGATAAATAAATATCATCTACCCTAATCACGTTTGTATTGTAATCATCTGGCGGAGCGATTTCAGAGCGCTAACAGCAGTTGGGCAACAAGCAGGAGAGCCTCCCTCTTTCTGCGCAAACGCTTCCAAAAGATGGGCAAAGTGGCATTGGAACTCCGTCTTCCTTGTGTACACGAGAGGGGGGAAAAAAGTGTGAATTGGTTTATTTTTAGTGAAATAGTGTAGAACAGTTTGGATTTTCTTGGGGTGGATATGTTGGATTTCGAGCTAAATGGTCAATTCTGGGCAACACTCATGAAATATGCACTCTGTGTAACATTGTTCAGAATAGCTCCTTAAGAGAAGACAAACAGTCTTCAACCTTGTCCTCCCTGCCCCCACTGAGCACCTCTCGGGTTCAGGCAATAAAAACAGGGCTTGATGGGTCATCTAGGAGAACCATAGCGATCAAGGCAATGAGTCTCCATGGTGATCCTCATCCGTACGCACTCGTATCGATGATGGCAATCAAGTCGGAGGAAATCCTTGATGGGAGTCTCGAAAGCGGAAACACGATTTTGGTAACCTCGCCCTGAACTAGAAGCCAACAAGAACAAACGTCGATGTATTTTTTTTTTTCTCAAGTTGACATTTGCAGTCAAGGCCTGACAGCGCTTGCATTCCGACCGCCACTTTCTATTGCAAGGCGATACGGCAATTATAATTACAGGCTGTCTCTCTCTCTCTATTTTTTTTTTTTAGGTACCGGTAATTGTTTTCCTGGTATAACAATATGATAAATAAATATCATCTACCCTAATCACGTTTGTATTGTAATCATCTGGCGGAGCGATTTCAGAGCGCTAACAGCAGTTGGGCAACAAGCAGGAGAGCCTCCCTCTTTCTGCGCAAACGCTTCCAAAAGATGGGCAAAGTGGCATTGGAACTCCGTCTTCCTTGTGTACACGAGAGGGGGGAAAAAAGTGTGAATTGGTTTATTTTTAGTGAAATAGTGTAGAACAGTTTGGATTTTCTTGGGGTGGATATGTTGGATTTCGAGCTAAATGGTCAATTCTGGGCAACACTCATGAAATATGCACTCTGTGTAACATTGTTCAGAATAGCTCCTTAAGAGAAGACAAACAGTCTTCAACCTTGTCCTCCCTGCCCCCACTGAGCACCTCTCGGGTTCAGGCAATAAAAACAGGGCTTGATGGGTCATCTAGGAGAACCATAGCGATCAAGGCAATGAGTCTCCATGGTGATCCTCATCCGTACGCACTCGTATCGATGATGGCAATCAAGTCGGAGGAAATCCTTGATGGGAGTCTCGAAAGCGGAAACACGATTTTGGTAACCTCGCCCTGAACTAGAAGCCAACAAGAACAAACGTCGATGTATTTTTTTTTTTTCTCAAGTTGACATTTGCAGTCAAGGCCTGACAGCGCTTGCATTCCGACCGCCACTTTCTATTGCAAGGCGACTTCAAAACAATGGGAATGTTTTGCCCCCTGTACGTTGATGTCTGTCTTCGTTCCTCAGCTCTTCCCAAGTTCCACACTCACCCCACGTCCATGGTGGTCGATGAGGGAGGAGTCGCACGCTTCCAGTGTCAGATCAGTGGAATACCCGAGGCCAACATTACGTGGGAGAAAGACAGAGTGCCCCTGAGCACCGGTGACAACAGGTACGGGACGGGATGCTTTTCCATGCACAGTGTTTGTGCGTATGTGGTCACGTCACTCATTATTTGGGCCGTGGGTCGGCGTAGGCCTTGACGCGCTCGCTGTCTGACCACATCAATCCGTTGTGTCGCCCGCTCCTACTGTCGCCATTTGATGCTAGCGTGTAGCGATAATGCTACTAAGGCAATGATCTGGCTTGGCTTGCTGACTGAGCACTCTTTCCCCGATCCAGGTACACCCTTCTGCCCATGGGGGTCCTTCAAGTGACAGCTGTGAGACAGGCTGACGTGGGGGGCTTCCGCTGCGTTGCGACCAACATCGCGAACACTCGCTATAGCCACGAGGCCGTACTCAACATCACCGGTAGCTGGACATTTTTGACTCGACTGTAATTGGAGAGATGCGCCGCACACCCCTAATATAGACGGAGATGTTGGGAAAAACGGCATTACCGTTGAACCGCTCTCGCTAATCTGAAATGATTTGAATACGACTCGTTTTCAGGCGGAGCCTCAAGAACCTACAAGGAGCCGGTCATCCTGTCGGGACCTCAGAATCTAACCATCACTGTCCATCAGACCGCCATTTTAGAGTGCATCGCCACAGGAAACCCGAAGCCTATCGTTTCCTGGAGTAGACTCGGTAACGCACTTTGCAAGCCAGGGAGTTGATGTGAATTTCCCAAACCGTGTTGATTTTTTATCTTTTTTTTTTTGGTTTTTCTTTTTTTTTTTTCCTCCCCCACTCCGTCAGACGGCCGCTCCATCGGAGTGGAAGGTATCCAGGTTCTGGGAACGGGGAACCTGATGATCTCAGATGTTTCTCTGCAGCATTCTGGTGTGTATGTGTGCGCTGCCAACCGGCCGGGCACGAGGATGAGACGAACCGCACTTGGCAGGCTTGTGGTACAAGGTCAGTGCAAACTTACCGGTGACTGTACTGTACCTAGATAGCGCGTCGGGCTCACAGTGCAGAGGCGCAGGGTTGCATTCCGGCTCCGGCCTTCAGTCGTCAGTGATACTGGAGAGCTTCATTCACCCGAATCCTGTGCAGGAAGCACAGTGGCAGTACAGTTAAAAACAACAACAACAACAACAAAAAACGGTGGACTTGGCAGGGTGATCACATTCCACTGAAAATAAGCATGTGGATCCATTGTACGTCATCAGGCTCATCTTCGGCTACAAACAACAGTCGACATTGCAGGCTTTGTTAATTACCCGGAACATCTGTGGCCAGTGTGTTTGTGCGCATGTGTGTACTTGGCCACGTTCATTTGCAGCGGCAACGAATTAAAGTCACCTTTGCCCCCGACTCCTCAATAGGGTGTGTGTGCCGGGGGGGCGGGAGGGCTACCGATAACACGTAATCATCCATCACCCCGCAACCCCCTCATATTTCTCAGTATCATTCGCAGCTGTGATTTAATTGGCGGTCCAGCCGCCAACTCACTTCTTAGAGACGGGACACAAAGCACCGGGGCTCGGATCAAATACTTTTTGACTATCTGGTCTCCTTTCAGAGTTCAAATGGCTAGCTCAGAGAGGAGAGAGGAGATGAAGTAGGCTGAAGCCATGACGAGCAGTGCTGCCCTCTCTGGGGGAAA